AAAAAAAAAAAAAAAAAAAAAAAAAAAAAGAACTGAGGGAAATGGAAAACCTAAGCACATGGGAAGCTATACCATATTCATGGATCAGAAGCTAATTTTATTAAGACATTAATTTTCCCTAAATTGATCTATACCAATTCAATGCAATCCCAATTAATATCTCACCAGGATTTTACGGGAGTAGAAACTGACAAAATGACTCTACAAATTCCTGTAGAAAACCAATGAATCTACAACTGTCAATATTTTGACAAAAAACAAAACTGGAGGACTCACTCTGTTTGATTTTACAATGCTTTATGAAACTATAGCAGCCATACAGTATGGTACTAGTGAAATAGGTACGTAGCTAAATGGAATGCAATAGGGACCCACAGATACACAAGGTCAAGTGATTTTTGGTGAAAGTTCAAAGGCAATTCTATGGAATAAACTTTCAGCCACTGGTGTTGGGGCCATTGGATAACTATATACAAAAAAACAAAAACAAAAACCTACCAAAACTCTGTTCATACTTTGTATAATACCTAAAATTAACTAAAAAAAATGAGCCATTGACATAAATGTAACCTAAAACTATAAAACTGATAGAAAACAAGGCAAGACTTTTTAAAAATTGGGTTAAACATAGCTAGGTATGACACTGGAAGCAAAGAGAAAATATTTGTAAAGCACATATCTGTTTAAAGAAATTTGTACCTAGGATATGATTGAAAATACATCATTTTAAAAAACAGGCAAAAGGTTTGAAGACACTAATTCTGTGCCAAGCACACGCCGCCCATCCAGTGGGCAGAGCTTTATCCAATAAACCAATGTAACAATGTCCTTGCTGGTCCGCTGGGACACAAAGGAACAGCAGCACATCCTCTGGGCCATGGACGTGGATGGCTGCACACTTGGTCTGGGGTTACGGTGGGAACCAGAGGGGACACCAGGGCTGGAGCGTGGGGTGCATTCCACTGGGGGGCCCTTGGTACTCAGCACACTGAATCCAATCAGGAGGAAGCTATTTCCCTTTCGATCCTAGAGACATCCAGAAGAAAGCCTTGGGCTGGTGGCAGTGTACTTCTAGCACCTCTCTGACGCCTAAGTTTGGAAGACACTGCCAACAGCTTGCTGGAGCTCACTGCCTATAGGGGATGGGGTGAGAACCCTGTGCACAGGAGCCTGACCTTGGCTTCCTATGGCCTGGGTCCCAGCGTGGGCTGGGGACAGCCTGGGGCTGGGCTCTCCTTGGCTGTTGGCCGAGTCAGAGCTGCTGGGCGAGCCTGGGCCCTCGCTGAACTTCTGGAAACAGGCCTGGCAGCAGCGCTCCTTCCTGCCACTGGGCTTGGTCAGGACGAAGTTGTTGCAGCAGTAGTAGCAGAAGACGCGGCCACATATCCTGGGGATGAGACAGGGCCAGGGCTGTGAGGACACCATGCTGGGGCCTCCTGCGATGTGTGGCCATGGCGCACTACGTAAGGTTCTGCAACAGCCAGCATGGCAGGGTCAGGGGGAAGATGGCTCACTCCTGAGGTCCAGGGAGGCACGGAGGGAACATGCGGCCGAACCTACCTCCTCTGACACCAGGCTGGGGCTCAGACTCTCAGGGCCCCAGACCTCCCTGCAGTGCCGGCCACTCTGCACTGCCCGTCCCACCTGCTTGCCCCTCATCTTCACCCACTGTTCAGGGCCCCGGGGTGGGGGTAGGGTGAGGCCCTGCCTGATTCCCAGGAGGAGCTCATGAACCAGCTCCCCACAGGGCTCCAGAACGCCCACCCCGCTCTCTGCAGCCGGTTGGTCTCTGGGTAGGAGACACGTGGGGTCTCCTTATCCTTGCCCGCACCTCTCAGGGAGCCCTGAGTTCCAGCTAGTACCCAACTAACACACCCTCTGTGCCTGTGCCCCGAGCCAGGGGCAATGCGGACGCTCGGCCACCCCATCCCTCGGCAGAGCCCTGCCCAGTGTGGGGATGGCCTGCGGGTGCTGCCAGACCTGCAGTGGTGCCGCCGCACCATCCAGCTGAACTCTCGCTTGCAGTCCAGGCAGTGGGTTGCCTCCGGGTCCCTGAGCCACTGCTCCTCAGCGCTGAGCTTCTGCTGGAACTCCAGGGCATCGGACTTCTGCCACAGCGCGTCCTTGTCCCTGGGGCAGAACCACATTAGGAGGAGGAATCCCCAGGAACAACAGAAGCACCCAGCTTCACTTTGGAAGACTAACAATGAGTTAAAAAGTTAAAAGGAAGAGTTGTGAATGCTGGCTAATGTTTAAAGAGGAGATTTCCCACAAAAGCCCAATCTCCACCCTCTCTGGAGAAGCCGGTGCCACACCAACAGGACCCTGGTCCTGCAGGGGCCTCTGGTGTCGAGGGAGGGACAGTGGGGAAGGGGAAGGTCCTGAGTGAGGGGCAGGGGACGGGGATCCCAGGAGCCGTGAAACAGCAGGCACTGTCTCTCGGGGACAAGACAGAGGGTTGGAGATGCCCCACAGCGTGGGCTGGCACTCACCTGAGCAGCTCTATCAGCCGCTCCTCCAGGTACTTCTTGGTTCTGTTCAGGTCATCCAGGTCCGCCAGCATCTTCTGGTCGCTCCGCTCCCGCTCGCTTGCCTCCTGGCGGAGTCTGTTGCAGTACTGCTGGACTTGGGCGGTGGCAGTCTCCAGTTCCTTCTGGGTCCTGGGCAGGGGGGAAGTTTCTCCTTGAGCCCTGCTGCCCTGCTGCCCCGCTGCCCCGGGCCCCTGGACCCAGTGTGGCCTCGTCAATGAGGGCCCAGCTGCTCCCACCTTCCGCTCCCCACAGTGGGGCTCTCGGCGCCATCTGTGCATGGTCCCAGGCCCCAGGACGAGGCCCTCCCCACTGCCCTCAGTCATAAAGTGGCATCTGGGAGGGCGGGGTGATGCCGGCTTGCTGGGAGCACCCCAAGTGAGTTGAGTTCTGACCCGTGGCTCCTGGCCAGCGACTGAAGCTGAGTGGAGTCTGCGTGGTGACGGGGAGAGCAAGATCAGTCAGGACAAGAAGGGAGGTGCACTACTCAGGGGGACTTGGCCCCTCGCAGTCTCTGGGGCTCTGCATGGACCACGGTGCCGGCCCAAACAAGTCTGCTACCTGCAGCCCCCAGGCCCACCGAATTCTGTTCTAGGCATTGTGGGGCTCAGTGGAAACTGTGCATTAAGGGTACCCAACCTGTACGTACGAAGTACTTAAAATCTGATGCACTATTAAATGCTGCGGCTACTCTTCCCAGCATGGTTACCGTGCACTTCTGTCTCATTCTAGTTTTCCAAAGTTTGCACTCATGCGCATCCTGCTGCAGGTAAGAAGCAAACAAAAGTGACAGTGGCCAAGAGCAGGTGAAGCGGGCAGATGCCGGCATCCCCGGCCTGGGCTTCTGGGTCTGCGGCTGCTCCTGCGTGAGGGTTTCCTCGCCCCCGTGTGAGTCGCTGGGTTTCTAAATGACTGCGCCAAACACCCCTGAAGACAGCCAGGGGCTGCGTGGGTGCTGTGAGAGACTCACCGTTCCAGGCTCTCCCGCAGGCCTGCACCCTCCTTGTCCTTCTGGACCATGGCAGCCTGGCACTCAGAAAGATGGCGGCTGGCGCAGCTCAGCTTCTCTGCTGTGTCTGCCTGGGTGGCCTAGTACAGGACAGTGGGAAAAGGCACTCAGATTGTGCGCGCCTGCCACAGACGCACAGAGACTGGCGTGCCTCTGCCAAGCCAGCGGGGTCACTTCTAAGGGAAGACTCTGTGTTTGCTGCTGGTGGTGGGGCTAAGGTCAAGACTATTTGTTTGGTAGTGGGGATCGAACTCAGGACCTTTCACGGCGAGCCAGATGGTGACACCCCTTAGCTAAGCACCGACTATGAGTGGCTCTGGCGGCTGGGGGGCCGGGGGAGCCCACAAAAGCATCGAATGCCCAGGTGGTGCTGGAGGCCAGCGCTGAGCTGGCCAGAGACTGAAAATGCCCGAGGAGATGGCCAAGGGAAGCGGCTGATCCCCTGGCCACCTTGACAGCTCTGGCCAGGAGTGAGGGATCAGGACACTGAGCCAGGGTGTCTACAACTGGTGACAGGGTGTCTGAACTGCTGACTGCTTGGGGACGGGAGGCCTTCCCGAGTGTTCTGCTGAATGGTTCCCTGATCCCAAACCAGAGCCCAGCCCCGGGTGGTGCACACGGGCCATGCTACCTTCAGCTTGCCCATGGCCTCTTCAGCAGCCCATAGCTGCTGGCCTTGCTGCTTGAGCTGGGCCCTGAGGTTCCTGCACTCTTCGGTGGCAGCCTGGGAAGGACAAGAAGGGACATCAGAGAGGGGTCCTTGCTCCACAACCCCTTCCGCCTCATCACCCCAAAGGGTAAAAACAAACCACCACTGTTTCTAAACTGGCTCCTTGGGCTTTAAGCTCCTGGTAACAAGACACTTTTGAGATTACTAATGAGAGTGTCTCAGCTTGGTCCTCAAATTTAGAATCCAATTTCTGCAATGGGAAAAGCGGCCCACGAGCCTCAGGGAGCTTTGCAGGGGCACAGTGGCCGAAGTGTGCAGAGACCTCGATCACACCGACCAGTGCTGGCGGGCACAGGGACTGTTGACCTCAGAGCTCTGCCCGGCCCGAGGGCCCTAGAAGAGCCTGGCCATCACCAAGGCAGTTGAAACTCCTGGGGCTCCGCAGGGACCCCTGACACCTACACAGCCGGGGGTGGGGCTGGGCACAAGAGTGTGAGGGAAAAAGCAGCGGATGGGAGCTGGCTTTGAAGTGGACGTCGCCACTAAGCTCCTGCTGATGACAGCCACACGGGGATGTGGGTACAGGCATACACATCTGCTGAGATCTCAAAAGCAGCCACAAGACATCCTGCCCTTTAAATGGCTGCTCGTTTTAAAACTGTCTGGGCAGCTGGTCTTATCTGACACTGTCTTAACTGGCCGGGCGGAGGCCGCCTCTCCAGTGCCCTGCCCTGATGTGTTCCTACAAGGAGAGCGGCTGCTGGGAGCTCTGGCAGTGAGGTGTGCACCTGCACCCCAAGTTCCTTCTCTGGCTTCCCTGTCTTGTGGCTGCAGGGACTGCCACTCCTGGCCCCCTCAGGCCTGCCCGGGCCAGGTGGAGCTGGGGTTACCTTCAGCCTGCTCTGGTGGTCCACGATCTCGGCACTCAGCTGGAACTTGAGTGTGTCGCGCTCCTGGTGCTCAGCCTCCTGGAGGCTCTGCGCCTGCTGCTCGGCCGCCGTCAGCTTCTCCTGGAGGCTCGCTTTCTCCTCCAGCAGCCCTGCCACTTGGCGCTCCAGGCCGTCTCGCTCACGGAAAGCGGCCTCTTGGCAGTCACGGAGCTCCCCCTGCACACGCTCCTTCTCGGCCGTCAGGGCGCACACCTGGATGCCCAGCTCGGCGGTGTCCGTGTTGGCCCGGTGCAGCTGCTCCCGCAGCTCAGCGTGCTCCAGCCGGGCCTCTTCGGAGCTGCGTGTGGCCTGGTCCAGCTCCTGCCGCAGGGCCCGCAGCTCCTGCTCACTCAGCCGGGCCGCAGAGGCCCCGCCCTCCCGCGGCGGCCCTTCCTGAGCTGCGGAGCACTGCAGCAGCTCCTGGACGTGGGCCCTGTTGAGGGCCTCGTTTTGCTCCTGCAGCTGCTGCACCAGTGTCTTGTGCTCCCTCAGCATCTCCTCGGCCACACTCAGCTGGCTCTGTGCCTTGTCCTGGTCGCCCAGGGCTGCCCGGAGCTTGGCCTGCAGGTCTACCAGCTCGGCCCGCAGCCGCTCGGCCTCTCCTTGGTGGACAGCAAGCTGTGCCTGGGCCAGGGCCAGCTGGGTGGTCCCATCCCGCTGGCCCTGCTCTGCCTTGAGGGCCTCGATCAGCTGGGCCTGGCGGTGGCACTCCTTCGCGAGGACCTTGAGATCTGCATCCCGGGACTCCGCCACCTGCCGGCACTGCGCCGCCTCCTCCCGCAGCTGCCGGCACTCGTCTTCCTTGCTCTGCAGAGCAGCGTCCTTCTCGGCCACCTTCGCCTTCATGGCCTGCTTGGCCTTCTGCACAGCCAGCAGGCTTGCCTCCATCTGCTCCCCCAGCTGCCGGATGCTGGCCTGCTCAGTCTCCAGGGAGGCCAGGGAGCCCCGGATGGCCGCCTCCCGCTGCTGCAGCGCCTGGTAGTCGGCCTGCAGGGCCTGCAGCTTGCCCTCCAGGGTCTGGTTGCGTCTCGCCATGCTCTGCAGCTCCCCCTGTAGCTCCCGGTTGGCCCGGCGGAGGCCCTCCTCCTGTTCGCCTGCTGGCACCTCGGCACTGTCCCCTTGCCCCTCCTCCGGTAGGGTGGAGACTGGGGAGGCCGGAGCCTCACCCCGCTCACTGGCCACAGGTGACTCTGGGGCTGCTGGCCCAGCGAGCTGCTCCAGCGCACCCACTTTCTGGCTGAGACGGTCCTTGTCCTGGATGAGCTGCTTCTTCTGCTCCTCCAGGTCGCCCACATGCTGGCTCATCTGTGCCAGCTGAGTCTCCAGAACTTGCAGCTGCCGGCTCAGCGACCGGGCCTCCTGCACCAACATCTCCTTCTCCTCCCGCTGCAGCTGTTCCTCCTTCCTCAGCCCTGCCAGCTGCTCCTCCAGTGAGCTTGAGTGGGCAAACGACTCCTGCAGCTGCTGCTGGAGCTGGGCTGCCTCCTGCCCCTTCCTGGACAGCTCTTTTCGGAGCTGTGCCATCTCCTGCGCCTGGTGCTCCAGGCCAGCTTGGGCCTCCTCCTTCAGCTGCAGCTCGGTGGCCAGCTGCGCACTCTGCTGCCTGTTGAGCTCCTGGACCTTGGTGCTCTCCGCTTCCAGCGATTGGAGCTTCGCCCCCAGCTCCTGGAGCTTCAGGGCCGAGTCAGCTAGGATGGACTGTTGCGGCCCCTTTGTGTCCAAGGCCGTGTCTGCCCTCTGCTCAGCCCTGGCTAGCCTGTCGGAGAGGCTGGAGAGAAGCTGGTTCTTCTCGCCCAGGGAGTCCCGGGCAGCCTTGAGCTCTCGTGCCAGGGGCTGCAGCATGGCATCCAGGCACTGCAGGATGGAGCTGTCCTCTTCCTTGGCTGTATCTCGCTCCAGGGCCTGTAGGCACAGCTGAAGCTCCCTGACAGTATCCTGTGTGGCCCGGGTGACCTCCCACTGCTTCTGGAGCTCAGCCACCAGGCCTGCGAGGTGGTGGTGGTCCTCTGCTGCAGCGCGTCCCTGCTGCCTCTCCACCTGTAGCTGCTCCTGCTGTGTGCTGAGTGCGGCCCGCAGCTCCTGGTTCTCCCGTTCCAGCTTTTGTACGCGCTCCTGCAGCTGCTTCTCCCGCACCTCCAGCTGGTCCAGCTCTAGCCGCATCTCGTCAAAGCCCTCCAGGGCCTCGCTGTTCAAAGGACTGTTTAGGTCGAAGTTGGAAGCCATCTCCTGGGTCTGCAGTGGGGAACACAAAAAACAAGTGCTTTGGGAGGAAGCTAACTTGCTACTCAGAGAAGCTAAAGTCTAACAAAAGCAGAAGTAAAAATACGGGAGTTACCTGACCTAAGGTGAGTCTACAAAGCTGTTCAAAGGGCTAGAGCTCTGTTCAAAGCACCTGCCACACAGAGGTCAGCAGCATAATAAAAAAATATGGCAAATGTTTAAACTTTTTTTTCTTTTTGGTACCAGTGGCTGAACTCGGGACCTTGCGCTTATCAGGCAGGCAGCGGAACCACTGAGCTAAATCCCTGGCCCTAAACGTTTAAACTTTAAAATTATTACAGTAAGACATTTTGCCATGAATCTTCCTCACAACACTCCCCTTCCCTTTGCCGTCCTGGCTGCCTCGACGTCCTCATCGATAGAACACCTTGACCTCTCACAGTTATTGTGACTCTGAAGGAGAGCCAAGGGTCACATGGTGCCAGGTCTGGTGACTAAGGCGCACAAGGACACGGCCTTGAGTCTTCCCGAGCTGTCTTTCCGCTGGATGGCGCCCGGCAGCAGCGGTCAGTCACTGCATTTGTGATCACACCTCAGAAGACCCTCAGGAAACAGGACCCCAGAGCTGCTGCAGAAAGCGGTGCGGACCATGGGAGGAGTGCGTTTGAAGTGAGGGGAGGCTTCTCAGGGGGATTCACAGCAGTGTGTCTTTCATAGCAACAGATTTTAAAGTTTACTGCATATTTCAGTTACCCCTTATATTTAAACTGGGGTTCACATGCTGCACTAGACCCATAACACCTGGCATGATTATACCACCAAATGAGGTAAAAGGATGGTCTATCTTCTGTTTTTAATGCTCATTTTGTATACTGCTGATCAATTTCCACAAAATTATACAAAGCTATGGTACAGTCACATCTCTGAACAAAATTACTGAACTCTATCTACTGTTTCTTGATTTATGCTTCTGTCACACTCCCTTGTTCACGAGCAAGGTGGCTTTTATTATCCTATCTTATGGAGGAGAGAGCCGAAGTTTCCAGAACTTAAGTAATTTCTTCTTAGCCACACAGCTGGTGGGTGACAGGGTAAAGATGTGGCTTTTAGCCATGGTGCTAAACTGCTTTTTTAAGTGACTTTAAAATCTTTTTAAACACTTTAATTTTAAAATGGCCTAAATTCTATTTGGCTGTAAAAACCCAGTCTCCAGGAAATGGCAGGTGTAACCTGAAGGACCGCACTGTGCTGGCTCTAACAGGTCTCTGTGGACGTCACCCTTGAGTCGCTAGGGCCAAGGACAAACCCCAGCCCCCTGGCCTTACCTGCAAGTAGTTGCTCACCAAGCTGCTCATGCTGGAGCTCCGGCTGGGGGCCTTCCACACATACGCAGAGGAGCCGGGGGCCAGCGTCCTCCTGAGGGCCACAGACCAGATGGACTTGTATTCAGAACAGTGAATGTGTGTGCACACAGACACACGGTGGCCAAGGTGGTCACTAGGGGCTACCACGGTGTGGGTGCAGCCGGAGTGTGTCCCCAGGGTTCCCGGGTCGGGAGCCTGCTCCTCGGGCGGTGGTGTGAGAGGTGGTAAGACCTTGATCAACAGGGCTGGGGCCCTGGCAGGTGTGAGGGGCCCGGCCTGTCGGGCTCCCCAGTCTAGAGAGGACATCTCTTGCTCCTGCACCCTGTGCCCCGTACTCACCATGAAGGAGACAGCTACGGGCCCTTGCCAGGGCTACGCAACGCTGCGTAAGCCTCTCAGCCTCCAACTTTACGAGCTCACTAAACCCCTGGTCGGACTGACACAGTCCGTACAGAGTGGACTGGCACAGGGACAGTGCCCCCAGGTGGGGTGGCTTTGAAGAGGTAAAACCCAACCCTTCCATGAAAGAGCTAAAGAGCACAGCTACAGGTCTGTGATAAGGCCTCTGCTGCAATGGTTCTAACACCAGGGCTTTTCTCCATCACCAAAAAAGATTTGAGTGAATGAATTCTCCAATTTGGGGGTGAAGTTTTCCTTGAGCTTTCAACACCTGTCCCAGAGGTGGTACAAAGGGTCACACTGTGTTTAGGGCACAGTCACCACCTTCTACTGCACACAGAAAATGCAGGTGAACAGCCGCGGTGGTTCACACAACCACATTGGAACCTTCCCTCACCACAGAAACCTTGGCTGGATGGTACAAGCCTAGGACTACAGGCTCATGTGGCAGCTCCTGCGTGTGCAGTAGGAACATGGCCACCTAATCACATGTTTACCAGCAGAATTGGCTCCAAAACCTGAAAATGCTGCTCTGTTTGTCTCTATCCCAGCCGCTCCCTTGTCAGTGTCTGCCTTGAAGACAGAGGCCCGGGTGCACAGGACAGGGACAGGGTGCCCCAGGAGAAAGGAAAGGAGCCCAACTCTCCACTGCCTGGAACCAGACATGCAGTGGTGACTGTTACACTCCCTCCTCCCACTGCGGTAGCAGAGCAGCTCCAGACAACGCGAAAGGAGACTTTGAGGCTGTGTTCCACTGGCCATCGGCTAAGATCTGCACACCCTGGCTCTACAGCCATGGAACCCCACATGCAAATGCAGGCAAAGTCTCAAAGTAATGTGCTGAGGACCAGCCATGACACGTACAGTCTGGTGGGGCCAGGCTGCAGGCCCTGTAGTCCTGAGGCCGGTGTGACTTGCTTTAGGAATTGGGGAAATACACAGAAGGCCACATGTTTCCTGGCTGTGTGGGGAAAGCTCACAATCACAGTGCTCCTAAGGCAAGATAACGTCTGCTGAGGACAATGCAAGAAAAGAATGCAGGAACCCAGGTATGGGGAAGGACTTATTCCACATTAATTGCTCCCTTTGTGAGGACTGACTTGACCCTCATTCTTTGTTGCCCCATTCTTGCTGCGGTCGGTCGGTTGCTGTTCCAGGACAAGTACCCCTGCCCACCCTGCACATCTTGCTGGCTAATAAGTGTGTCAACTGCAGAGTTTACGGAGTCTGTCCACTAGAGGCAGGCTCCTCCTTTAAGTATTTCTCTTCATTCCCTGTCCTCCCTCCTACAGGTATCTGAGGGTCTGATCAGCCCCTGGCAGCAACATCAAATGGAAAGGCAAGATGTGACAGGCAGCTATCTTAGGGTCCGAAGTGCATAGAATTTAAAAATACACACAGAATAAAACTGTATGCAGTCATAAAACACGTATGGATGCACACATGGTAAAAATACAACCATCTGGACATGAGACACATCAACTGCACTGAGGCTGTAATGACCTCTGGTGTGAGTGGTGGTTAAGAGGTGATCAACAGGGCTGGGGCCCTGGCAGGTGTATGGGGCCCGGCCGGTTGGATCCCCACTCTAGAGAGGACATCTAGCAGTGGGGGCACAGGGTGCAGAGGAGGGGGAAGACGACAGTGAGTTGGGCTGGGGCTTGGTCCATGGTGCTTTATTTCTCAATAAAAAACAAGTATCAGGCATAAGATAAAACCACTGCAAGGACCAGCTTGAAAAGGCTCCTACTGGCCAAATATGGGCCAATTTAAGTCTCACAATAAACTACGGTGGCAGAGTGTAACCCTAGTGAGTCTAATAAGAATCTATGCTGATGCTAATTTAAATGAACAGATCAATGCAGAAGAAGGAAAAGCTCACCCTGTATAGGATGAAAACTGATAATGAAAGAGGAAAACCACGCTGGTTACTCTGACAGTAACGGATGCTTCAGGTAAAACTTATTAACCAATGCTAAAACCAAGAGCAGAAAGACATAAGAGGAAGAGGACCACAACATTCTCAAAGTATCTTCTGGTCAGATACATATCAATCATATAAGGAGAAACAGCAACCTTAAGACAGTGATGGCAAACCTTTTAGGGCCTTGTTATCACCGAACTGTCTGTTACAACTAACAAACAGCCTGCTGCGGCATGAGTGCCACAGGTTCGTCAACACTGCCTGAAGATAAGCCCGGTCCACCCCACCTTCACCAAGGAATCATGGTCAATGGACATGAAACTCATCAGCACCATGTGCCTCTGGACAGAATGCAGACAGGGACACAGCCCTGAGGTTCCACAAATAAGGCTTAAGCGGAATCCAATGAGGAAACATCAGACAAACTCAGATGAAAGAACAAGTTACAAAGTAACTGGCCCGTAGTTTTCAAAAATGCCAATGTTGGCAAAGGCAAAGACAGAGAAAGTGTTTCAAGTTGGCGGGGTGGTGGGGTGGTGGGGTGGGGGGATGGGGCTTTGAGAGGCCCCTGCTGAACTGTACCCTGTGAATCCGGATTGGGTCCTGGCTTTAAAAGACATTGCTGAGATGCTCCGGAAAATATGAACAATCTCTGCAGGCTAGACAGCCACATCCAGTCAACGTCCTTCTCCTGATTTTACTAAGTGTCCTGAGGTCAGAGAAGTCTCTCATCTTTAGAGACACAGTGCCTGCAGGAACAGGGTATCAAGTCTGTAACTTAGGTCCAGATGGCTTAGGAAACAAGCCCATGAGAAAGAGAAGGAGGAAGAGTGATGAAACACTTGCAGCAAAATATTAGCCACGAGGGATCAGGGAAAAGGGCAGATCAATACTCTGCACTCTTGCTGCAACCTTTTGTGACTCAAAATTAAAGTTTAAACAAGGACACGTGAGCACAGCAAACGTTGGCTCTTAAGTCTTGGTGGTCACTATGTGGCTATCATACTCTTTTCTATATCTTCAGAGTATTTCCCTCTTTAAAATAACACGAGTACTGAAATTTGAAAATTCTCTTCACCACGTGGTGACTTCCGGCTTGTGTATAACCGCAGTGGGGGCCGGCCAGCTGCCTGCCAGCCCTAAGGCTTTGGTTACATCTGTCCACTCAGGGTCCAGAACAAAAAGGGATAAAACCACAGCAACCTTTTGGGCCAGCCTCATGGCACAAACTGTAGCTTTCACTCCCTTTCGTGAAGTTTAGGAGGTGACAACGGTGTAAGAACTCAGTGGAAAAAAAGCCCACGCGCGCTCTTGGCCCTACTCCCACACCCGTCCTCTCAGATCTCTCCAGTCAGATCCGTTTATGGTTGGAGCATTCAGATGTTATCTCTGTCGTGACTCAGCAAACTGCGGAATTAGCAGACAACAGCCACCAAGCTGGATGCGGCTGACGAGTAAACCTGCCTCCAACCTTTTCAAAGACTCAAACATCTCTTTAACTGAGCTTTAAGGTTCCAAGCGGTTCTGCAAGGTACCTGGCAAATGTCGGCCAAGCGGCATCCAAGTCGTAGCCCCTCGATGCCAGGTCAAACTGCACCTCAGTCAGCTCGTAGAGCTGGCCCACGATGTCAGAGCTCAGCTTTAGCTTCAGAAAGGGGCTTCTCGCGTAGTACCAGTCACTGCAGGGGGAGATGCAACGAGGGTCAGGGGGGCAGGAAAGAGTGAGTCTCCTCAGTTCTCACTGGGGCGGCTAAAGTGGTTGAAGACACAACAGGACCAGTTTCATTCTCACTGCAGGAGCAGGCAACTCCAAGGACCTTGCTCTTCTGCAGGGAAACTGCGGCGCTGATCTGGATGTTTATGCATTTATTGTTTATGTCACACCTATTTCCCCAGAGGGCTGTGGGAAAGCTTAACTCTCAAACTTGCCAAGAACGGGCAACTGTGGGGGAACGAAAGGGGCCACCTTTCTGAACGAGAACCTCGCCTCCTATTCCTTTTCCAGAACTCGACATGAGATGCAGGACTTGCTGCTTACTTCTGCCCAGACACCAGTTAAAAGCCAAGGCACAAACTCTCTACCCAGAGACGTGATTTGTGCACTAGACAGTGGTCGGCTCACTTCACACGCAGTAACAAGATAGAAACCGACACCACTAAGGAGGTGGAGGGTTACTTGGTGCTGTCTGTGGCCAGATGAAGTCAAGCTGCTTATGGAGATGGTTTCTCACCACACATCTCGAACAGGTCACCCTCCTACCCACCCACACCCAAGCATGAGGCCCGTCACACGCACAACTATGTCTTCCGGCAAATCAATATTAAAGGGGACAAAGCAAAACAAAACATTCTCCCACTACTGTTTTCTTCTGCGATTACAAAATGATTTCTCTGATTACCTAGGGCACTCCTTGGGACAGGCGAGGCAGAGCTCACGGACGGGCAAGTGGCCTGCAGTGTCCACCTGACACCCACCTTCCTTTGCACCCTGTCCTGCCCCTCCCCTCCCCTGCCAGGTGCAGTGCCAGTGACACGGAGGGTGACACATGGACAGCCGGGTCCTGACCACAGCAGCCCTCAAGGCTGGCTGCCCCTCCGTCTCCAGGAGCCCAGATACCCTGGCGGGCAAGGGCCACAAGTGGCAGCTGAGGCTGGGTTCAGAGAGTTAAAACCCCTGCCAGCAATCCTGCTGGGAGCCATGGCTGCACCTGTCCGTCCATGCCCATCGGGCATCTGGGGTCAGAACTGGCTCGGAGCCTCAGCTGAACAGGGCTTGTGGCATTCCAGCCCCTCCGCACCAGGGACGAGTCGGGGGTGCCCACCCCATGCTCCAGGACGGCAGTGGGCAGGGCAGGGGAAGGACGGACGTGGAAGGTGCCCGCCCAGGGGCACCAGGCTGCGCTGTCACCGTTACGAAGGAGGGACGTGGCATGCGCCTACCTGGTGACCTTGGTGTTCATGAGGCACTGCTGCAAGGTATCTGCCAGCCTCTGGTGCACCAGGGAGTAGCGGATGAAGGCTCTTCCTTTCCCCAGAGACGTCCGCAGCTGGAAGGAACAGAGCAGAGCAGAGCAGGGGAAGCGCTGTCAGCCGCCCTGGAGCACACGCTTCCTGGAGGCCCACAGGAGCCAGGCCCGGGCAGAACACACCGTCCGGAGCCACCCCAAACACCCCACGTGTGACCCTTCAAGGACACCAGGTGGCTGCGGGTGGGCTCGGCGCTGGCCTCCCATGAGAATAAGCTGCGGCTCCGGGACGCACGCGCAGGGGGACCCATCTGTGCCAGCTCCCACAGACCACTGGGATCTGTACACTGTATCCGCCCTCCTTGCGCCATCAGGGTCTCCACGTCACATGAAGCCCAATTTAACTGGGAGATCAGAGCCACCCTAGATGTACGCTGTGGCGGAAGGGACAGTCTCAGCTGGGTGAACGCTGGCTTATTTTTAAAGTGCTGGAAACAGGTCGGGGAAGAGGCCTTAGGGGCTTGGCAGACCACGTGTAGCAGAAAGCGATGGCCTGGGTAGGGCAGGGTGAGGGCAGCTTTTAAATCTTGCTGGATGGGTAACCCCTGCCACTGTCTCCATAACAGTCAGCACAGTCCCCATCTGGCAACACTGTCCTGTGGACTGGTTTCTCTTCGGGTGTCAGCCAGCCTGTGTCCAGGGGTGATGGGGGTCCTGAAACCTCTCCTGCAAGCCTGAGGCTTCCAAGGTTTCGGGCACCTGTAGGGGTGGTGACTGCGCAGCTGCTCCCAGAGCAGGGCCTTGCATGTGGCAAGAGGACAAAGGAGTAAAGGACGGCATGGAGGACGCTTGAGAGCAGTGTGCCAACTCAGGTCCACTCCCCTGGGAGAAGGAGAAAGGGGTTCGAAGCCCACCTTCCCCGGCGGGGGCTCTGCGGGGCCGAGGCTCCCCCGAGGTCAGGAATGTGGGGGGCAGCAGGGGTCTGACTACCACAGGTCCTGGCACCTCCCGTCGTAAAGAAGCCAGTGGCCGCGACGGAGACAGGAAATGCGCGGTGTGGCTGGCGGCACGTTAACACGCTGTGAACACTCGTAGGATGTGGCACCGGAAGTGTGGCTCTCCTTCTTCCTTCTGATCACTGCGGGCAGAGCTCCACAGTACGACACAGTTTCGAAAAGTAAAAAGTGTGGAGCCTCATGAGCTACAGAAGCCGTGGGCCATTTCTCTGATGAGTTTCTCAGGACTCTCCGGGGAGGAGGGCAGTGGTCAGACTTGCCACAGACCAGCAGCAGCGCAGGGTCTGACAGGTGACTCGACAGACGCCACCCTGTGTCCAAGTCCTCCTGAGGAGTGAGGGGAGGCCAGGGCTCACAGAGCAGTGAGTGCGCCTCACACCCACACCGGTGCACACACATCCAGGCACACACCTGCCACGCCCACACGTCCTGCAGAATTAAGTGGGACCCACCAGACAGCCCTGTCTGCCAGCTCCTTGTCCTCACTCGTAGCATCTCTGACCAATGCCACAGACTTCAGAACAGGAAAGCATTTTAAATGACCAACATCTGAGGCTATGTTTTATAATCAAGTTGATCAGCTGAACTCTTTATACGCACAGGAGCTTTAAAATGTACCCTATACATCCTTTGGGGAGGAGGACAATACTAGTTTCTCTGTACAAAGAAGGAACATGACCCCATGGCCTTTTTGTTTCACTATTTTAGATGCTAGGTCCATTTTCGCTCCTTAACTCTTAATGCTTTGGGCATTGAATCAGCGCCAGTGCACAGAGCCAAGCAGTGACAGGGCAGCGGTGCAGGACAGGAAACATGCAGGGCACCGAGCATCCCCCGGGCGTGATGGGCACTGCTCCCCAATCCTTGTGGGGACACAAGGTCCACACAGAACCCCTCTGAGCATCTGGGAACTTACAATAACTCTCCCTGCTTCAGCCCAACGGCCACCTCCTGCCCAAAGGGCCAGGGGTCCTACAAATGCTCCTCACCTCCATGTGTCACTGACTGGCTTGAAGACCTGACAGGCGCTGGTCGGGAAGCTAAGCCGGGTCCCCAGCAGCCCCACCGAGCCTCCCAGAGGGACTGGAGGGACCGGCCCTGGGGAAGCAGAGGCTGCTCCGGCCACATGTGAGCGAGGACGCGTTTGCTTCCACAAAGTCCATTCTGTGGCCTCAAGCTGTCTAAGGCCGACTGCACCATGAAAAAGGGAGAGGAGAGTGGCCCACCTCAGCTGTTTCAGCGTGTGTCTGGGAGCTCTGGGAGTGGGGTCATCGGAAGTACCCACTTCCAGGCTGGAGCTGCTCCGTCACACAGCCAGAGGCAAGGCGCCCGCGCTCTGACGTGGCTGAGGAGCCTCCCTGGGCAGGCAGGTTTCTTCCCAGGGCCACGCATGCCTCATGCGGCCCGGATCACATGAACATCAACACCCCTTAGGCCTAGAGGGCAGAGGGTGCGGCGGGTGGAGAACACCCAGCCCGGGTGCCCTCATCAGCCCCATCCTCTCTACAGAAGAGACACTTGGTCCAGCTGGCACAGCCGGGGAGCTCCGCCCACGCGCTCACTGCAGCCCTGGCAGGAGCCGCCCCCAAGGGCCTCACTATGGCCTTCAGGGCGCCTGGCCCCGATCACAGGGCCCCCTTGTGCCCAGTATGCAGCCAGGCTGAGGAGAGCGTGGAGACCCAGTCAGGTGGGCAGGAGTGCGGGGCCCCAAAGTGTGTGCACCCTGTTGCTCTGGAGCCGCGTGAAGTGGCAGAGCTGTCTCCGGCTCAGAGCTGATGTGGAGTCGGATCCTGGCAGGTTCAAAAACGCCGTGGGTTCCTACCTCAGTCTCCCCTCAAATCCCAGCCTCCTGCGCACGCTGCAGGGAAGGCAGAAGATGATTTTCCTTTTTTTGCAGCACAGGGTATTGCACTCAGGACCTCACACTGCCCTCACTCCAGCCCTTTCAGATTTCTGGCTTTTACATTTTGAGATGGTCTCACTAAGTTCCTAAGTTACTTAGGGTGGATTGGAACTTCTAATCCTCCTGCCTCAGCCTTCCTCCCTGGCTCAGAAAATGTCTTTTTAAAAAGGCAGAGATGTCCTGTTCCATGCCATTCAAGGGCATCACGAGCAGAGATATGAGGGCCCAGCGGGTGACGTTCAAGGCCGTCTGCTCTGTGGCAGACACTTGGGTGGCTGCCCTGCAGTGAGCCACAGCTGGACACCTTTGCTCTTCCCCACCTGTGAGCCCAAGGCCACCAGGGACAAAGGGGCGCCTACCTCGGAGATGGACTTGACGAAGCGTATCCCATCGTTGGCCCCCTTCGCCTTGGCCAGGCAGGCGCAGAGGTAGTCCCAGTAGTCCTTCTTGGTGCCCAGGAGGCTGACTTTCTCCTTCAGGTCGAACTAGGAGAGGGAGAGAGAGGAGGTCCAGTACCCGGCCTTTCACCCCACTATTTAAAGGCTGAAAAGCCAGGCGAGGTGGCGCACACCTGTAGCCACAGAACTCAGGAGGCTGAAGCAGGTGGATTAATCACAAGTCTGAAGCCAGCCTAAGCTACACAGTGAGTCCCTGTCTCAAAAATAAAACAAAAGCTGGGGATTTGGCTCATTGGTTCTGCTACTTGCCTTGCAAGCCCAAGGGCCAGAGTTCGATCCCTGGTACCCTAAAACATAAAAAACAAAAACAAAACAAAAGAAAATAATACAAGAGCTTCCCAGGTGCTAGTCCCTGGGAGGCCCTTTACAGGCATTATTTTTATTTACTGGCAAATCAGGCTATGTCAATCACAAAATGAGGGTGTTTTAATCCCCAATTTTTAGACGAGGAAACTGAGGCTGTGAGAGGCTGGCTCAAAGACTGACACCTAGTGAGATTTAGGGAGAACAGCCGCCCCACAGGGCTGTTTTACACCAATGGGTGCGTAACGTGGACAGTGATGTTCTCTTGGGCACCACATGTGCACACAGCACTCTCAGTCATTTGCGACCCTGGCTTCCCCTCCTTCCCCTCTCCATTACTGAGCATCAACCCGGTTTCCCATCCTCCCTCCATCTTTTCTAGCCTATTTTCGACTGTATTTTGAGTCTGGTTTAGTTTACTCAGTATGATGCTCTCAAGTCCCACCCTCTTTCCTGGGACGGACACGTTTTCATCCGGCTTCATGGCTGCATAATGCTCTTCCTTATGGGTCCATCCACGACACACCCTGAAGACCCGTCCCTTGAAAGGACTCTGCGCAGAGCACAGTGGGGAACGCTCACGTGGAATCGCTCCAGGGAAGCTCGGGTCCACATGGAGACCGCACACGCGCCCCACGGAGGAAGTGAGGCGATGCTATTTCATTTCACATACTCAACTCTGAAGTTTCTATACTGCTTTAATGCCCACATAACAAACTTGAATAAATGTCAGCTGAGTCATTTCAAATCCAAAACCAAAATGGGCTTAACAGGGGGCAGAGCAGGAGCAGACACTGCGCAGGGGGGGCCAGTGGCCTGAGGGGACCTGCCTGCCCACGCGGGGCCTAACCCCCGACCGCTGGCCTCTCCTCCTGTTTGGAGGAGGACGACTATAAAACGAGGGGACGGATCTATGTTTAATATATTTTTTTCTGATATAAAAGCAATATATATAGATTGTTAGGAAATTGAAACAAAACAAAGTAAAAACAGAAAAGAAAAAAACCACAAGGCTGAGTACCACTGCCCTAAAATAACTCCTGGCTGCTTCCTTCCTGCCCGCTCCAGCTGATGTTTTCCACATCTGCCGAGCTCCAGCTCGCGCCTCGGGGCTGAGCTGCCCCGGAGCCCCTCTAGGAGAACAGGAGAGTGCCCAGCAGCAGGACCCAGAAGGACAGGACGGACACAGCCCGCTGAGCCCAGTGCACGTCACACAGCCGGCTCTGCAGCGAGGCGTCTGCATAACCGTCGCAGAGGCCACCGCCTGCAGGCTGCCCGCGTGGTGGAGCAGGCGCCTACACATGGGTCTACCCAGGGACAGGCTCCCAGCTTCCACAATTCTCGTGGGGACGGCAGCCTCCTGAGGTGAAGACCCGGCTGTGCGGGCCTTGTGGGCGGCCTCACGACATCCAACCTCCAGGGCTTGTTCTCAGTTCCCAGCCCCCCGAGTGCCCCATCAGCCCTCGCCCATGAAGGACACGCTGCGGGGGTGCTGTAGTGGGGACAGCTCTGTCCCCCCGCTGATGACCACAGCCTGAGAGCCGGCAGGCAGCACTTACCTGCAGCAGGTACTCGAGTTTGTAAGAGAACTTGTGCAAGCTGGTGCTGTCATCGGTGATGGGCTCTCCCACTTCCTTAAACTCGTTGCTCAGTTCTGTAACCGCGTCTTCAAGACAACAGACAGATGCGTGACCAGAGGGGAGCATGGAAGGAGGAAGCACAAGGTGTGCGAGCGTGCGGGGCAGGCCCTGGTCCGAGTCCGACAGTTCTCAGCCGCCCCTGCCTGGCACCCCAGGGTGCCATGTCCATGTGGCTGCTGGTGCGTCCCCAAAGGCCCATGGGAAAGGCTGGTCCCAGTGCCCGGCTAACCGGAGGTGTGGGACCTTCCGAGGTACGGCCTGACTGGGGCCCCCTGGTCACATGGGCGTGCCTTTGCAGGGGACACCAGGACCCCAGCTCTTCATTCTCCCCCACTGCTTCCAGATCACTGTGAGGCGAGCAGCTCTCCAACAGGGTCAAGAGGGTGGACGGGGCCATGCTGTGGGTGCGTAGGCGCGGGCTCTGCTCCAGTGTGGCTGTGTGACTGCATGAGATACTCAGCCTCTCTGTGCCTTTCCTCGTTCACAGAAGGGAGTAACCCCGGCAAGCTGACTTACAGTGGCCCAATGTGGGACTCACTGAGCCAGGACCTGGGAAACAGGCGCACAGCGGTGCCTCGCCCCCACATACCACTGCAGGCCAAGGCCCGACCCAGAAATAAGACATGAGAAAACTTTCAGATCTGGGAGCACTTCAGCTTTCAGATTTTCAGGTTAAGGGTGCACAACTGGCGAATCTGCAAATATTCCACAGTTCTGGGGCTCATGGCAGGCAGGGATCCTCAGCCTGTGCTAGCTGCGGCTGCCCAGATGCAGCAGGAGGACACGGCCTACCTGTGGAAGTGACTGCTATCTCGCCGGCCTTGGCTCGAGGCCTCAGAACGTGGACAGCTGCTCTGTGTCTGCCCACTGGTGGGTTAGAAACGTGTCCCCGTAGACACAGGTATGGGGGAGGTGTCACCTCTGGCTCGTGTCTTGGCAAACGGGGACACCATGGGAGAGGGTGACCTTGGGCTCCACAGCCTGCCCAGGGGGAGGCGACTTGCCTCCCCTGATTCTACAACCCTGGGTGCGGCTCTGCCCGCGCCCTGCCTCTCCCAACCCCAACCTGGGCCACACGTCTCAGCCTCTCATACAGAGACACCAGGGGCAGCAGGCCCGGCCTGGGAGTGTCACAGACAGGGGCAGCTGCCAGCTGGGACCAGGCTGGGCAGCAAAACAAGCCTAACAGGTACTGAGCCTCCTGCTCGCACCAAAGAAGCCACCAAAGCCCGCAGCAGGAGGCAGTGTGAGCCTCCCACGCTGGAACCAGACACAGAGGTGACTGTTTACAAACTGCCTGTCCTGTCCCATGAAAGCACGGGCAAGTGCTCCCGGCCCCATACATGGGACACAGGGTCCCAAATATTTCAGTGTCATGCATCCTGGCTCCGGCTCCTCCCTGAGAGCAGGCAAACCTTGCAGGTCACGGATGATCCTCTGCAGCTGGCCCTCAGTGCTGCTGGAGTCCATGGCGAGTTCCCTTCGTGCCCGCGTGGTCAGAAGAGGCTGGGGCTGTGGCTCCTGGTCAGCAGCTGTCACACATCATGCTGCACCTGCCCAGGGAAGAAGAGGCCATGAGGGAGCAGTCAGAGACACAGTTAAGAACATTAGGGGACTCCTTCACCAGTCACAAACCTGGCAGCCTCCCTGGACAAGAAGCTGGGCCCCTGGCCTCCCAACTTTGTTTCTGGTGCACTTATACTCAGACCCAGCGACCCGGTTTGTGGCTCACCGAGGAGCCAGATTAACCTTCCCCAGGACAGGACTGGCTAGCCAGCTGTCCTCAGAGAAGCCCCTGTGGCTCCTGAGCACCTACCCCAGGACCAGGCCCTGAAAGCCGGGTGCAGGTGGTCCCTCCCCAGGCACCCTCTTCCCGAAGAGCCGGGACCTGTGCAGGGGCAGTGTCTCAGGGCATGTACCCTCAGGGCTTCCGCACAGGACAGCCTGGTGGCCAGGCAGGGACGTGCTGCCCTTGTGGGGGTGTTGCAGCCTCCCATTGCCCACAGGCCGGCCCAGCCTGGGGTGCGGCCCACTGCCCACCGGCTGCCAGGTATTTCTATTTTAGGCTCGCTTACAGTCCTCTCTCCTGCTGGGGAGTCCCCTGCTCGGCAGCTGTTAATGCGAACTCAGGTCATGGTGGTGGGCAATGACCAACAAAGATGAGACAGCTCCTGGGACAGAGGGCTGGACGTGTGTTTGGGCCCCACGAGTTCAGACTCTCTCTCTTCCCACTGGTAAGTGCAGGAATCGGGCTTATTGCGCCCTGGCTGCTCAAAGGCCACATTGCAGCCTGGCTCTGGTCTCAAGCAGAACACTAACTTTCGCCTCCCAGGCCGTGCACCAGAAGCGGGACAGCGCACTTACCAAACCCACGGGACCGGCCCTTCGGCCCCTCGTTTCAGCAACACCACGTCCTCCCCTCACCCGAGGCGACCCCATGAGTTCCCCGCAGTGTGGAACGCCTTCCTCTGACCCCAAGGGCCCCGGCCCTGACCCCAGCCGTCTGTATTCAATCCCAGCCCAGGATGCAGGCCCTGAGGACAAGCGCACCGCTCTGTCCTCAAACAGCACCTGGCTGCGCCATGGGCCTGGGTGATGCTGCCCGGCCCTCCTTGCCTTAGAGTCAAGCACAGACTCCCGGCCCTCACCCCACCAGATCGGTAAACCTCTCCGGTCAGCGCCCCTGGCAGTGGTAAACACCGCCACGCAGCTCCGGCTCCTCACAGGCCACGTCTTGTGGGCAGCAACCAGGGCAGTTGAAGTTCACCGGCAAAAGCAGACCACAGATGGGAGACATTGCGGGAGCCCTGAGCATGGCAGCTGTGCGCAGCGCTGCGCCTGTACCCGTGATCGCTCTCCATTCTCACGGAGACCTGACGTGCAGGGGAGTCGCCCACCGCCCCGAGTGTGCCCAACACAGGCCACTGCTTGCCTCCTACTCCCAGCGCCTCACACCTGCTCTGGAGCCAGGCGAGGGGACCTGGAAGGGAAAAGGCCCCAGCCACGTGCAACCCCAAATATTTACACGGGCATCCTGGGGTCAGTGTGGGGCAGGGCAGGTGGTCACAGGACAGAGCCACCTAGGCCTATTTTTAACCACCAAGCCACCACACAGGCTGTGACTCCATGGAACAAAGCCCAGCGAGGGCTTCTGTGGCCTCAGGGGAGGAGGCGGCCAGGCCACAGTCCCAGGTCACGTGGGAGCTTAGCGAGCCGAGCCAGGGACCTTGAATGGAGGTGGCAGTGGGTCAGGAGAAGCAGAGCACAGCGACCAGACAGGCAGCGCCGGGCCCTGGAGAGAGAGGCTCAGCCTAGGGAGGACTTGGGAATCACTGCCAACACCAGCTGTCCAGCCCCTCATCGGGGCGGCTCCGTGCAGGCTGTGGACACTGAGGCACACAAGGCCCCATCCTGCCTGGTGGTACTCGGCTGTCCAAGGAGACAGATGGGAAGATGTCCTGGTTGCGAGGCCAAGAGGAAGGGCCAGTGCGGGCCACGGTTGCCCACCACGAGGAGGGGTGGACAGGAACACACAGCACGGGTGGCCTCCAGCGCCGACTGGGAGAAGCCACTAGGAGGCCCTGCGTCCAGACCCCGGATATACTGCATTCAGCAAGCGGGGCGCTGGGGAGAAGGCAGACCTGTGAGGCTGGAGAGCTCGGGGCGCTGTCTGTGTCTTCATCGGGAAGTGGTTCTGCGACTACACACTGGGCAAACGTTTGTCAAAACACAGAACCGAACTGTAACTTGGAATACCAAAGCAGCCTGTGACAGAGCTTTGAAAACTGCCGGGAACTGGGGCAGGGAAGAGTTAGTCCTACTTGGGAAGGGAAAGGGTGACTGGTGTTCTGTGACAGCCACGGACTGGGCCAGGCCTGGAGAAAGAGGTGACCAGAAAGGGGAGCAGGCTGGCCCCCCTGCTGCAGGGTCTGAGGGCGAGGATGGGGGTGGCCTCACCTCGAGCCTCAGGGAAGCCCAGCCCCCCCACACTGGGCACACTCAGGGGCGGGCAACAGCACTTCTGCCTCCCCAGGAACCGACAACCAGCAGGGTTTGCTGGAAGCCATCCCAAGGGAGTCTGCCTGAGGGAACCATGTCCACAAACCAGAGCCTTGGCACAGGTGGAAATGTGGTTGTTTGTCTGCTCTGTGGTACCAGGGACTGAAGCTGGGGCCTTTGCACTGAGCTGAGCCAGCCACCCTTTTTGAGACACAGTCTTGCTAAATTGCCTAGGATGGGCTCAAACCTGGGGACCTCCTACTCAGCCTCCCAGAAGGCTGGAACGACAGACATGCGCCACCACACCTCTGCTGGCAAGGTGCCCCTTTGAAGCCTGGCGCTGCCCGTGTGTCAGTCTGACTGGCTTCGCAAGGCAGTGTGCCTGTCTGGTGTCGGGTTATAGGTCACAGTGCGACTGCACAGGCTGATTTCCAGAGAGCTGTAAGAACTTGGGCGCCAGACCTGCGGGTCACTGTGAGCCTCTGCACACCGCGGTCACTGTCCCATGTCACTGGGCAGCCCCCTGGCTGGGGATCAGAGAGCTCTGGCGCCAGTCAGCCCCGGACTGATATCCAGCACCAGTCAGCACAGTGCTCTCCGAACTCAGGGACACAGCACTGCCATGTACAGGGCCACAGACACCGCAGCACCCGGCAGGACACACGATCACTGCAGGGACACAGGGTCCTTTCTCACTGTCCTCTGCCGAGCTCTTTCAGATATCAGAAAAACCCTCAGCTGCCCTACACGCCTTCACCAATAGGCCCAGCATGTTCGTCCCTGATGGAGTCGCAAAGACACTCACTGACTCACACACGTAGCTTCTCCTGACTAATCTGCACACGCTGCCCCGGCAGGAGCAATCCATGTCTGAATAGTCACGTGAGGGAAGGAGGAGTGGGAGGGAGGAGGGCTGAGGTGGAAGCCGACCTTGCCGGAGCGAGGAAGTGGCCCAGAAGGCGTGGCTCAGCCCAGTGCCTCCCTTGTCCCGGACAACCCCACCCTGACCACAAAGGAGCACTCACAACAAGGACAGTTTGAGAAGCAACCAGCCTCTGGATGTGTCCACTGCTGGGTCCTGGCCAGCACACCCCATGGCGCCCACGGAGTCACCACCACCAGGAAAGGCGTATCTGCCTGGTACCTGTGGCTCATCCTGCTGTCCCCTGCCCGGAAGCTGAGGGTGGGAGGCAGTGGCCCGGCAGGCACCTCACTGGAAGCCCAGGAGTGTGGCTTGGACAGTGCCCGTGGGATTGCCAAGGCCAGCACGGTGGGGAGGCGTCTGCATGGTGAACAAAGGCTCTTTAGGTAGCCCAGCCCCTGCAACTGGCAATTAAAGTGCTCACCAGCTGCGTGCTGGGCCTCTTTCCTCAACACCCTTCTTGCTTTTGATCTCTCTTAAAGGGAATGAAGCCTGGGGACTTCGCCACAGCTTCTCAAACCTTCTTTTGACACTCCCCCCCACTGTAGTAGGGTCTTTGGTCACTTCCTCAAAAACACACACACAAAGCCTCCACAATTCCAGCCCACAAACCTAGGAGAGCAGGGTCACAAGGACCTGAGCTCAGGAGGAGCTATGAGGACCTTAGAGACACTGGCTGGCTTCAAGGGAGGTGAGTAGTAGTCCAGGGAGAGGCCACATGTCCATCCCTGGGGCTGTGGGCCAAGGTCCTGCCACTGGACCAAAGGGTGAGGATGACAGGTGTGACAACCTAGGCAGTCTCCAGAGCTAATACATAGACAACTGCATGACCAGTGATGCATCTACTGCCCCAAAGAGCACAGACCCCACCCAGGCAGGGAGAAATGACAGCTCTCCCAAATCAAAGGCTCAGGAGACCTTCCTGCCCAATGTCAAGAGGGTTAGTCTAGCTAATTACAAATTAAGACCTGCAGCTGATAGAATATGACACAGCCAATAATCACGGCCTCAAGGAAGCCACTGGTGACCTCCTGTGCTAACAAACTGCCAGCTAGGCAAAAGGTGGTGTGGGCACCACTGTGAAGGGGCAAGTCTGACCCAGGAGTGAACAAGACCCATAGGCACAGGCCTAGTCTTTAGGGAACTTGCGCTCAGTGGGAGAAACACGCAATGCTTTATAACTGGGACAGAATATCCCCCCACCCCCAACTTCAGAGAGGACAGGTTTATTTGGGCTCATGGTTCCAGTGGGTTCAGTCCATGGTCAGCTGTTTCCAAAAGAGAAACCGCATGCCTGTTCACCCCATGCAGCCAGGAAGCAAAGAGGAGGTGGTAACAAGAATACACCCTGCCGGATCACACACCAGTGACCGGTTTATCCCAACCAGCCCCAGCTCCTAATAGCAAGTTCAGCTCTGAACTCATGAATGGATGAACCAGCTGACAAGTCCAGTGTCCCATGATCCAGGCAGCTTCCAACAGCCCTGCCTCCAAGCGCAGAGACTGGCAGCTCTAAATCACTACAGAAAGCATAACCCATTAAGACTGCACACAACAGTCCCTTGCGGCCGGTGAAGTGCTTTGATAAAAATAAACGAATGTGTGAGACATGAAACCACACGCCCCCATGATGCCACACCTTAGCAGCAGGCCTCCCTCGGAGTCTCCTCTCCCAGCTTTGAGGCCATCACCAGCACAGGGATGGCTCATTTCATCACTTTTCCCCTCTCTGTACTCATCATTTTCCTATGACCTAGCCCAGTCCGGCACAGGGAGGGCCCTCAAGATAAGCTGCTTGCTGAAAGAATGAACGAACAACTGAATGAATGAAACCAGATCCTTGCCTACAAACTGAACGACATTGTGAGGCAAGGAAATGTACCAAAAATATGAATGATGGAAATCTGCCAATGGCGGGAATGTGGGTAGATTTACTGTTAAAAACTCTGATTTTTAAATTTCCTTTGTTAAGCATCAGTTACTTTCATGTGGACTAAAAGAATGCATTTCAAGAATCAAGCTGTATTGCTGTTGTTGTGAAAATCTTTGGAACTACTATTCCCCGAGTGCACAGAAGAGCCTATTTCGGGAAAATTGAGGGGAGGGTGTGTCCTCTTCTCTCTTTATAAACACCCCCCCGCCCTCACTGTCCAGTGGGCTCAGATGACTGCTGTCAGACATGTTCCCACCTCATGACTTGTCTTTTTGTCCTCTCCCTGGGCTGTCCGGAAGTGGCTAGGGCCATTCTGTGGGGTTTCAATGCTCCGTGCCCTCTGCCTGATGTCCCCATCCCTCCTCTGCCAACTCCTCTCCAGACTTTCTGGTGTTAGCCAGGAAAGGACACGTGCACCACTGTTCTGTCTCCCAGGGAAGCCTTATCCAGAAGCCTTCACACCCATCCAGGACAACGTAAACATTGTCTCCATTACCACTGCTGTTAGGGATGGAACTGTGCCCTGACTCTTCCTGTTCTCATGTGAGGCCCTAACTCTTACCTTGCACTGTGGCTATATTTGAAGACAGGGCCGTCAGAGAGGTGCAGGAGGCTAAATGAGGCCATGTAGGCGGACTGCAATCCAATCTGCTTTTGTCCTTACAGGAAGAGGAACTTGGGATACAAAAGAAACACGTAGATGTGTGAGCACAGACAAAAGGCCATATGAGGATGCAACAAAAAGGTGGCCACTGGAGAAGCCCAACCTGCAAAGACCCAGGATCATGGACCTCTGGCTTCTACATGGGGAGAGAAGCAGCCACTGGGATGGGACATCTTGCTATGGCAGCCTTTCCTTCTTCAATTCCCAGTGTGGCTCGCGGGTCATCTAGGGTGGGATGGGACTGCTGGGTCTGGTTCCGCTGGCTCTTGCAGGGAGGTGACCACAGCAGGACACAGCCCAGCCCGGAGGGCAGAGCATGGGGCTGTGTGGCAGAAGGGAGGTAAAGGAGACCAGGCTGGCTCAGTGAAGACCACGGTTGAGTGAGGTTCAAGATATATTCAGCTCACCAGATTTGTATTTCCAGGCCACCTGTCTATCCTGAGCAAGTTATCTGACCTCTTCCTACCTTGTTTTAGATCAGGTGCCATGTGGGGAGGTGCCCTTTACCTTCCTTCACAAGGAGAGAGTGGGGACTGTTGTCGTGGGAAAGAGGAAGAACACCCTCAATGGCCAAGGCTTCTGAGTGCCCCAGCCTGCTCCTGAGCAGGTCTACAGCTGCCCTGGAGAGGCACCTGGGCCGCAGGTCCAGCTCCGGAAGTGCCTTCAGCTCCTCCGTAACCTCTGCCTGTGGTGGAGCTGCCCAGCACCAGGCTGGGCTCTTCCGGGGACTTGCAGCTCAGCACCATCATGCCCGCAGAGTGCTTGCCTGGAATGCTGTTTTTTGGTCTAAATTTTTCTTCTGCTAACTCAATTTCCTGCTCCATGTCACAGGTACCATGATCAGGCTCCTGGGTGTGTGTGTGTGTGTGTGTGTGTG